GCAATCGACAGTTGTTCGCAGTAGATCGCCATCGGACCAATTACGCTAAATTTGGACCGGTAAATCAGATGATGAGTGTTTATGATCATCATTGTGGAACGATTGACCTAAATATGCCCTCAACAGAATTAAAAATATATTTCAGAACCCTGCGAAGTCATAGAATATAAGTCCTAATGTTAATATGTAGTCTACGATTTGATTGATTGACGAATAAATAAATAAATATTTGTTACACTGAAGATAAAATTGAGTATATACAATGAAATCGTTCGTTTGTTGCACGAATCCATTCGTACGTTATATGAAGCTAGTTTCGCAAAAAAAAAAACTGCCCTACTCGCTTCTGATTTTATTTCGTATTGACAACGAATAGCTTAGCTTAGCTTAGCTTAGTCTGACTGCACGTATCGATAGTTGCACTCCGTGATTGATCTGAACCAGTGAAAATGTACAAAGAATCAACTGAATGGGGCTTGGTAGTAACCCGCCATTCTCAGTGTACATGTTCCAGTGACTCCTACCTTTAAAGATCAATAACGTCACCGGCCACGTCCTTGCAATCAGGTGGGAGAGGGAAGGAATGTTAGTGTGTGACTTTTGTTGTTTTGGGACCGTGTTTACCTCTGCATCCCACAAAAGTCACAGGAAGGAGGTTTTGTTAGTGGGTTAGGTTCGTTGGATCAGGATTCACCTTGATAAGTGATGCGATCTTTTGTTTTGTGTAGTTATTTATAAGTGTTTTCGATTTATGCTCTAAACAGCCGGCTGTCTAGAGATGTAGATCATTATTAGATGTGTGTATACCGATTTAAACCAACAATAAGGATACTGTTGGGGCCCCTCACAAAGTGTGATGATGGTTTATTTTATTTTATCAATGACCAAAATAATTAATTATAAGCGGTTTGAACCGATTTAAACCAACAGCAAGGATGCTGTTGGGGCCACTCACAAAGTGTGATGGTGGTTTACTTGATTGAATATAAAATAATTATTAGAACCGATTTGACCCGATTTAGACCAACGGCAAGGATACTGTTGGGGCCACTCACAAAGTGTGATGGTGGTTTATTTAGTTCGGAAGAAAATGAATATGTATACTTCTTTTTTTTTTATATATATATAATAGAACGAATTTGTACTGATTCAAACCAAAAGCAAGGGTTCTATTGGGGCAACTCACAAAGTGCGATGGTGGTTTATACTATAAGGGCATAAAACAAAATCAAGAGCCATTTCGGTTTCCATAGCTTCCTAGACACTCGGCCGCAAAATAATCTTATCCGACGGAAACGTCTCGATCATCGCTGCACAATGGTTTATTATAGCATTTATAAAGTAAATTTGAATACCTTATTGTTTATTTATTATCCATTTTGACTTGACTTGGTACCGTTCAGTTTTATGATGACAAAGTTGCCTGGAGAAAAGTGACAGTTCAAAATGTTTCGGAAGGGAGTCAGCTAGTGTCGTCCAAGTTCAAGTGCGGAAAAAATGCCATTTAAAGTGGTACAAACAATTGAAAGATGCGAAACATGCCTAACCGTAATTCTTTCTGGTTGGAAAGAAGCTGGAATCCTACACTGGCCGGAAAAAAAAACGCAGTAGCGAAACTCTCTCAAGACGAGTTCTCCATGCCAAACCCAATGTGGGAACGTATCAATTGAGTGAAAAAAAGAGAGTTCAAGACTCGCTTGGAGGCTGAAGCAGAATTGGAACAGATGTAGCCAGTTTCGGATACGGAGGCGAACGAAGGGAATAATCCACCACCGTCAAAGAAAGTTTGCCCCGAAGTCTACAAGTCCCCCAGTCGGAAGGGAAACACAATAAGAGACTTTAACGAAGTTTTCCTTATTCCTGGGCAGGAGGTTGACACCTGTGAAGCTGACTGTAAAATCCAGAATCAGATGAGATTATAATATATGCGACACAAATTCACTTTTTTATAGGGGAACATGTGATGTGAATAGAACCCACCATCAGTGCAAGGATTACATATGACTGCAGATACTTCACTGGTTGTAAAGTTCTGCCTGATGGTTTGTTGCAGCTGGGTGAATCAACTTCATTGAAGACCTTTGGAAGACAAACGACAAGATGTACGTCTATCAACACGTGACAAGGGACTGGCAAATCCACGAACACTTGTCCAGTCTACAAATCCATTGAAACCCTTAGGCTGCCCCCCCCCCCCCCCCCAAACCCAACATATAATAATGTTTGATTGATGAAACGTATTCAAAAAAGGGATATTTAGAGAGAACAATCTTCAACTGGAACGTACTCACCAAATCAATACATCCGGGAGCGCATTCTCGATGCTTAATTTTCTCTAGTCATTTTTAAACAATTCCTCCTCCAGCGAATCCAAACACACAATAACTAAATATCACTTTTCTTCTTCATGTCACTCTGTGCACAAAAGCAATGCACACCGCAAAAACCTAATAATAGATTTATTTCGTATTGACAACGAATGTTTAAAAACTAAATACAAACTACCCTAATAAACGGGTACCATACTCTAACGATATCATAGAAGGTACGACTATCCCACATAAAGTTGGGATGATATCCCGAATTGGTGGTTAGGCGCTTCTTATGGTTATTGTTTATGCGGGTATTGTTCGTATACCAATAGAACAACATACGTGTCGTGACCTGGATTGCCTTCCATCGTAATTGGTTTTATTTTCGGGGATTTTCGGGAACGAATAAAGTAGAGTTTCAATTTACTTCCGTATTCTACAAATTCTCTTACAGGACTGATTTTATTACCGATTATTTGTCAATAGCCTACTATGATTTCTATTTTCATTTCGTCATGTCTCGTCTTATCTACTACATCTCTCCTCTAATCTACTCTTAGTCAAAAATGTTATACAAATACATATCATGATATTTCTTAGGTTTGATTGTTGTTCTTTTTGGCCTGGCATCCTTTAACGCATCGAGATTTGGACATCTGGCAATGGCTTCATCGTTTGACAGATTCAAATTCTCTTCACAATCAGTATATACGTTGGTATCCATGGGATTCACAACAGGCTCGTCTGTGAAATTGATCGTTTTAATAATTGTGTGTAGTCAAAATACTTACTTCAACTAGAAAAAAAATACAAGAAAATCTACCAATTGCTTCGGCTTGTCTTTGCATAGACTCCATTGTTTCTGGTAACACATTTGCTGCTTTTTCTTCAAGTTCTTCAGCGCTATTGCCTTTTTCGCAATCCACAATAAGCTTCACATCTCGTATACTACGAGAATATTGCACACCTCGATCACTCCTGATGACGAGTTTTCCTCCATCACGGGATAAGACCGTAAATTGTTCGCTAGAGAATGTTGGATCCGTTTTCGTTTTTCTTGAAACAGCTATTATTACCTTGTCACCGACAGCAATGTTTGAACATTTGGCTCCTCTGTGATTGTCTGCAAACTTATTGCTTATTAACTTTGATTCAGCATCCTTATCTCGTATCTCTTCTCTATCTATTTTTCCATTTTTTTTGTGCCCAAAGGCATGGAAAAGTACCCCTGTATTTCCACCCTACAAGCAGTTCAAATGGCGTGACTCCGAGCCTTGAATGTGGTTTTATAGTGTTATGCACATGAATGTAATTATTTAACGCATTTTTCCAATTTTCTCCATCCTGCTTCGCTCCTGCAACAGCCTTGATCAACCCCTGATTCTGCCTTTCAACCGAACCATTTGATTGTGGACATAATGGAATCGATTTCCTAATATTTACTCCTTTATCAATCCAAAACTCAACGAATTCAGTACTGTGAAAAGGTGGACCGTTGTCGCTCTGTATAACCAGTGGTAGACCCCAAGTAAAAAATATCTTGGATAGAGCTGCGTTAGTAATTTTCGCGTCTGTACATCGCATTTCGACAGCTGTTAAGTATCTTGAATACGTATCAACTACAATCAAAAATTCACCAAAACCACAGCCGGGAAGGCATAAAAAATCTATTTGCAACACTTCCCATGGTCCTTCAGGTAGCTTGCGGCTTGATAACGGTATTGGTGGATGTCGTTTCGTTATCATAAGGCAGGTCTTACAATTCTTTACAAATGACTCTGCGTCATCACTCAAACCTGGCCACCAAAAGAATTCCCTTAGAATTCTTTTCATTGCAGCACATCCTATATGTCCTCTGTGTGCTGTCAGCAATACTTTTGAGCGCAATGATTTTGGTAAGATGAGTCTCTCTCCTTTGAATATCTTGGGACCCAAAATCCGCAATTCCTTAGCGTGTGCTTCGAAACGACGGAGGTCCATTGGCCAGCTTCTTGATTCCAACGCTTCACCAATAGCAACTAGCTCTGCATCTGCTTCAGATGCTAATTCAATGTCCTTCCAAGTTATGTCCATTGTTCCAGCGCCCAGTGCAAACAGCAAATGCCTATCGTTATCTTCATCGAAAGGTTCATCTGTTTGTGTTTTTGAAATTAACCGAGAAAGCACGTCCGCAACATTTGAATCACCTATACCATTATTCGTTTGAAAAAAAAAATCTAAATGACCACATTGAACAACAATATAATTGTTATCACCTGGCACACATTTGACTTTAAAGTCATACGATTGAAGTCTGAGAGCCCATGCTTCTGCCCGAGAGATCGCCCTTTTTTCCTGTTCTTCATCCATTTCCGAAGATAAACTGGTTTGCTTCTGAATCAGTTCTGATGGTGAAAGAGTTGCCAAGTCTTCCGCTTTAAAGTGGCTGAGTCCATTCATCGACCAGGACGATATTCTTCGTGTCGGTGGCCGGTTACGAAACGCAGCGCTCACCGACTACGTCAAACACCCCGTCGTGCTATCTGCCAGACATCCGCTGTCGACTCTGCTGACTAGTTTCTTTCACTTAAAGCTACTGCACGCAGGGCCGCAACTCCTGCTAGCAACTCTCCGCCAGAAATTCTGGATTCTGGGTGGTAGAAATCTATCAAAATCCGTCTTCCACCATTGCCAAACTTGCTTTCGTAGCAAGCCCACACTAGTTCAGCAGAGCACAGCAGATCTACCGGCATCCCGAGTCTCACCAACTCGCCCCTTTTTCATTTGCGGAGTGGACTACTGTGGACCGTTCTTCATCAAGTCAACTGTCCGTAATCGTTCACCAACGAAGGCGTACGTAGCAGTATTTGTCTGTTTCGCAACGAAGGCTGTACACATCGAGCTAGTAAGTGACCTTACCACAGCGGCATTCCTAGCAGCTCTTCGTCGAGTGGTTGCCCGCAGAGGAAGGATCGCAGAATTGCACTCGGATAACGCTACTACATTCAAGGGTGCTTCGCACGCACTCAACCGCATCTATCGGATGCTTAAGACGGACCAAGCTGATCGTGACAGGATCTTCAACTGGTGTTCCGAGAATGAAATCCGTTGGAAGTTCATTCCACCACGAGCACCACACTTTGGAGGTCTGTGGGAGGCTGCGGTGAAGTCTACAAAAAAGCACCTCCTGAAAACTGTAGGCAACACCAACATCGCCTACGAACAAATGGTCACGCTGTTGGCCCAGGTCGAGATGTGCCTGAATTCCCGGCCGCTGACGCCGATGTCAAGTGAGCCGTCTGATCTGGAGGTCCTTACCCCGGGACATTTTCTCATCGGGTCCAACATGCAAGCCGTTCCAGAAGCTGATCTGCATGGAGTTCCTGATAACCGTTTACAGTTGTACGAGCAGACCCAAAAGCACCTCCAAAACATTTGGGCTCGCTGGTATCCTGAGTACTTGCAGCAACTGCAATCACGGGCTACCAAAGGCTGCAAACCACCGGTGACCGTTGAGGTCGGTCGAATTGTCGTCATCAAAGAGGATAATGTCCCGCCTGCATATTGGCCGCTCGGTAAGATCATCAAGCTGCATCCGGGGAAGGATGGTGTTGTTCGAGTCGTGACTCTATGGACTGCACCAGGGAAGGACATCGTACGAGCTGTTGTCAAGCTAGCGCTGTTACCATCACCGAACCCAAGCATCTGAAGTCATCAGTGTTCCAGGTAGAGCAACCCGAAAGGGAGAACTTGCTCGAAGCGCACCCGTTCTGCATTCAGGTAATTGCGGTTCCATTCCTATCAAGTCGAGTCGTTCGATCTACCTGGTCTTGTTTTTTGTTCCCGGTCGATGGCGAGGATATACCCCGGAGCGATCATCATCTGCACCTGTGAATTCGTGGTTGATGATTGAAAAACCTCCGTGTTTCAAGGTGGCCGGAATGTTGGAGATGGAGCAAAACCAGATAGACTGATCCTACCGTAAACCTACCACACAATACCCTACAAATAGGCGAGAGAGTGGGTAACAAGAGAGTGGGTAACAAGAGAGCGCATGCGCAACTAGCCTCTGTCCAACGCTCGCCTATAACCGATCGTGGACCGAACAGAAGATCCAATGCAGTGTACATATTGTAAATAACCCCAAACAATAGTTGATAATAACAAGTTCTACGAAACGGACGTGCGGTCGGTATCTCTGTGTCAATCATATCACCGTCTCCTTGGTGCACTATCTCTCAAGTGAGAATAGTACTAGTTCCCCGCGACAAAGGGACTTGGTCGTGAACGTTGCCGTGCGGTGGCATTAAAAGGCATTTTTCGGTGGCTGCCTAACAGCAGTGAAGAAAGCCCTTCAGTGGCCGGCAATAGTTCGTTACGCGAACAACTGTTGATCTATTGATAATGAAGGCCGCTGCGCTGAGGCTGAGCCGGTGGCTGCAAATCTTGTTTTCGTCCCGGTCAATGCAGAATTTCTCGCGTTAGTGCTGATTTTCGTTACTTTTATTTGGAGTAGTAGTATTTTGACGTAGGACTACGTCTGTGATTTGTATATGTGGGTACACTTTGTGAAAACCAAAAATGGAACATGTAACAAAATTATGAAAGATTTTGAACGTTAATAACTCAGCTGCCCCTGGACCAATTTTAATAATTTTATCACCAATTGATCAGATAAATTCCTACGCATCTGTTTAATTTAAGACCTTATCATTTTTCAAAATGTCACTATTGAAAATGGCACGAGTGTGCAACAGTTGCATGATTTTTAAAATTATCACCGATTGCCTGCGAAAAGTGATTTCCCTAACACAGATTACAAAGTTGAATTCCATCCGGTCTCACCAAACGGTGTTTATTCAATCACCACGTGGTTGGTGGTGGTGTTCTCCAGTACACAACGAAAGGCTCCCGCAAGCAGCTAGCTACCAAGGCTGGCCTCAACCACTTATAGGATTCAGTTCTAATCACCGTGTGTGGTGGTATCCGGTCGTCGGCATCAGCAGCAGCAGCAGTGCTTTCGGCGCGTGGCGTTGAACATTGTTCTCCAGTACACAACGAAAGGCTGTCTGCAAGCAGCGAGCTACAGCCCACATGAGCATTCATAGAAGGAGGAAGAAGCCACACCGCTATTGATCTAAATCAGTAGCTCTTCGTGAGTCACTGTGGGCCATCTATGCCAAGCGCGTCATACTAAAGAGTATAAACAGAGAGAACCCCACTCAAATTCCTATTCCTACAAAAAACACAAGCTTCTGGTGCAGTTAACAAGTAAGATTTATTATATAAGACCACGTAGTCCTACGTCACCATTGCGTACAACCCAATAGGGCTGTCCCTTATAGTTTTTATTCAGCTAACTTTTCCACTGACGCTGCTGCAGCTGTTGTTGTTCTCCAGATAATGAACACCGCCATGCTGGGAATAGTTTACAACTGCCGAAATATGAATCGAATAAACGATTTTTTTCGTAGCTTTGCTAGTTCAATAGCTAGTATGCAGGAATGATTTTCGTATTGGGTTATTACTTCCATACGAAATTCAATACATGAATTCTACGAATTATGCGTTATGTTGGAATTTAACCTCATGACATGTAATACGAATGTTTTGTACAATCAATGAAAATATTGTACGATTTCCGAAACTCATTTTTACGAAATGAGCTTGAGAAAAATAACGAAAATATATTTTCAGTGTAGTTAGTTAGTTTTAGATCGTTTTCTTTATGAAAGATTCTTTTAGCCTTTGGATGGTTCGCTTATGATAAAGAGTTTGTGGGAGCCAGAAGGATTCCCCCTTAGTTACAGAATATGCGGAAACGTTGTGTGGTGGAGTGTGATAATTTATTAGCTGAAGAATGGTCTTAGAAGAGTGCAGGTTGATAGGTTTGTTAGAGTACGGCAGTATGACAATTCAATAGAAGTTGAAAATGAGCGAAGTACCATTAATGCGACAGTACAGTGTTGCCTGTTGATTACTTCAAATCTCCGCGTACATCGTACGGGTTAGGCAAAGAAGTATGCGTTTGACTTGTACTGGACCTTGTATAATTTGCAAAGGTCATGAAATTAGATGATAATTTCTAAGGAACTCATTATTATGGAGTTCTGGGAAGAACTCTGATAAAAATATCAAGTGCAACATGCTTTCAAGGAAGTCCTGAGGAACTCCACATTCTATGTGAAACCAGAATACAAAGGTAGTTCTGGATGGAATTCCAAGTAAACCCTGGATAGGATTCGAAGGAAGTTTTGATGAAAATTGTTAGGAATTTCTAATGTTAATTCTTCAGGAATTTAGAAGAAGGCGCCAAGGAAATTAAAACAAAATCAAAAAGAACTCTGAGGATAATTTCAGGGACGAAAAGAACGCGATGCATGATGGCATGGGAATTTTTAGGGAATTTGGGAGTATGCTAAAAAGGATGATTACAATTAATTTTGAAAATAATTCCAGGAGAACTTCAATGGAACCCTGAAAATAAGGATCTGACTTGAATGCCAAATAATCTTTAATGAGAAATCAAGGGAATTTGTTACTTAACTGCAAGCGAATTTTTAGAAAACTTTCAAAGAGAGTAGAATTTGTTACACTTTTCGAAGTTATGCCAATAAAAATGCGCCAACAATTATCGAAGTTACCTTTTATATCAGCTTTGAAATAAACCAACATCACCAACACAACATCTCGCACGGCGCCACTGCATTGATCCATAGGAATGGGTTTATCCCACTCTCGCACGGTCGCACCTAGAGAACAATCAGTCCGGGATGGGACAATAGAACGGCATTGTACCGTTTTTGAAGCTGGCCGGTGGTAGGTGGAATAAAAATGTCTGTGAAAAGTGCCCACAAATCGGAAATAATCCAAAATTAAAACTGATAGTGGCTTGACGCATGAAGGGACCGGTCCAGGTGAGCACCAGCATTTAAGATTCACGGACCAGATAAATGGCATTAGTTTTCACTAATCTCTGATCACTAATACAGTCTCATCCACCAGAGGAATGTACTATCTGCCGAATTAAGGACGTGCATGACAAATTCGGAGGAATCCTGAAAATCCACCCAAATAGTTTGAATAGCCAGAGCCACTCAACGGAACAGTATTTGGAGAATTCCAATCCAACCACAATTGGACAGCGATCGGTTCAAGCGACCTAACGCCACCATTGGTAATACACCTTCGCATTTTCAATATTGAATTGGTTGCAAAATCTCATTTTCCAGTGCAGGTGTTTCACTCGTGTATCGGGCAACGTCTCACTTTACGACGCACATCTACAAAAGGCCCTCAGAAGGTAAATCCAATTATAAGCGGTTATGAGAACGTCTGGCTAACGCTGTGCCACCTCAGAAGAGGGCCTTTAATTGCAGTTTCCATTTCCCGTGCAAGACCGATGCGACGACGATCGAACTCGATCGAGAGTGCCCACGAGATCCATTCCCATTACACTACGGTGTGAAGCGACATCGCAGATACGGCAAGTTGTGGCTGTATGATACACGCTGCTACACCAGTGCAGTGGAGTGACGGAGGCTAGTGTAGCGTGCGGCGATTGCATGCCGCGCAATAAAACAGCGTGGATTCGAAGTTAGCATTGCGACAAATTTTGTTGCGTGACAGACAACGGTGCATCAGCGCAACGGTGACGCAATAGATCTGCGGTGCAACGAAGGGCAACGACCTGGTAGAGTTCGTGCGATCAGCGGTGCATCAATCAGCATGCAGGAGAGACAGCATCACGGGGCCCCCAACGACAAGCCCAGTGAAGGACAATTACTGTGAGAGGAGTTTAATGTATGTATGCATGTAGAAAATAGGAATGAGGTGCAACCTGTACCATTAAGCAGCAAATATCATTTTACGCTATCGTTTTGAGATTGAGTCATCTCTTTTCAATGAAATTCACTGTATTTCATTCCCGGTCATCGATTGCTAGGGCACGTTATTCCCTGTTAGTGACTAGCCGACCTGAATAAGAGTTTGAGCGGTGTTACTACACCGAAGGACCACTTTTTTCTTTTGTGGTACCGATTCCGTCATTAGCACTTTCCCACCGCTAGGCTAGGATCGGAATCAGTAGCTCGTCGTGCTCAGCTCAGCATTACTCAACCATCACTACAAAATGGTCCTTTTCAGGACCACCATAAATTTGTTAAGAGTATTATTTAGACATTTGTCAAGGTCATCAGTTCCCACAAGCAGCTAGCTATCAACCCAAGTAACAATCTGAATGGTTGGAAGATTTATTCTTATTTTATCATTGTTTTATCATAGCATCCCTTCCAGCCTGTGGTTGTATGCTTGTTATAAAATCAGGCCGTCAAGTCGTCTATAAAACTGTTTTATGACTACTAAATTAAAACTCAGACTTCATAGTTTTAACGGTAGCTGTAAGGTGGTTCTGCATCACTACTTATAACTGAAGAATAAAACCAAAACAAAACATACAATTATGTTTTATGGTACACTTTTTATGACCGATATAAAACTTGAAGCTGTCTTAGACCTCCATTAAAGCTTCATTACAACTATCATCTTTATCAGAGGCCTAAGATTCACAGATAAGAAATATACTGCTGCAACAAAAAATACTCTGAAAATTTTTGTCATTATAAAAAACAAATCTATTCAGATATATGAAATGAAAACCCCTTAAGTGCTTCTGAACACGATGAAGATGAGACGATCGACAATATGAAA